TTTGGGTCAGTAGACCAGTGCGCTGTCTACTAGGCCACGCTCGTCTCGATATGTCATATATAATATGTCATTGAGGTTGAGCGCTCAAGTACATCACGTGACCACGGGACATGCGCGCATGTGGTCGCGGAGCATGTCCGTAGTCGCTACATCGCGTCGGTATGACAGGTCTCATAACCTGATAGTCGTCAACTTTAACAGTTAATATCTCGTTTCGCGGGGCAGAGCGGGGCTTTTTTCTGCCAGATTCGTTCGTTTTGTGCAAAAACGCGTCGATTAAGCCTAAATTCAGCGAAATCGGTGAGGAGGGAGCTCTCCTTCAGATTTACCATAATAATAATCATTTGCAAATTCAATTTATCGCGAGTTCACTTTTCCGTATCTCCCAAGGTAATCTCTACGACGATCTCTACCTCTCCCGCGAGGAGCACAACGAGGGAGGCTCGGCTGGGCTCGGCCACCGCGCACGCGCGGAACTCGTTCCTCCACCTGAAACACTGGCCAACATTCACCAACATTCGCCGACGGCCGAGGCCGAGGATCGCCGAGGTGCATCGCGCACGCGCACAGGCGTGCAGGCGCGAATACGGTCGCTCGGCGCCGCCGCGCCGTTCCGTGAGTTCCGTCCGGTTTGCGTTTGCGTGTGCGTCTTCCCTCAGTCCACAGCAGCGTTCCGACTTGTCAGGTTGTGTTTTTCGTCGCAACCGGTGCTACGCGGCGGAACGACGATCCGACCACAGTACACCGCGTAACGGGAAGTGCGTCTCGCCAGACCCGACGTGTCTCGGTCCGGCGGTTCCATCGCGTCGGACCTCCCGCCGCCGACGATCAAAACATCGACCACGAGGCACCAGCCCCAGCTGAAACGCCGCTTCCTCGTCTCCTCGCGTAAACCCTCGATCGGGACAGCACGCGCCGCCGGTGAGTATTACGCAGCCAGGCCGCGTTCACCACGTCCACGTAATCGAGAGTATCGAAACTGTTCTATTATTAGGAAGCGTAGAGAAAAAGAGACGAGGAAAGAGAGAGAGAGAGAGAGAGGGAGAGAGAGGGAAAGCGTGGCTTACATTTCGGTCCGGAGGCGCGGCCGCACGCCTCCGCGTTCCAACCAATCGCCTGCGAGCTTTAAGCTTCTCCTTCGTTTACCGAGATGCGTGTGCATGTTCTTCGAAGACACCGTAACATTCTTTTCTCTCTTTCGCGGGCCTCCCGCCTTTCCCCCTCAGCCGTTCTCTCTTTTCTCCCTCAGGGACGACAAAGTTAAATGGACTCCGCGCGGAGAATCGACCTTGCAGTCGTTACTCCGTCCATGTTTGAAACGGGAGAGTCACGCTTTCTCGTCTCTGCGAAACGTGACGGCGAGCAATGTGGCACGCGGGATGTGTATCTGGATCTCTGCACGCGTGAGATTCGAATTACTACGTCGTGGGTTCTACTATATGCCCGCGGTGTAATAATTGATCAGTAAGAACCTAAGAACGGCATACGTGCCCGTTGACTACGCCAATGTATAGTGTTACGTCAACAGTAAATTAATAGGAAAATAACCACGTGAGACTCGAGATAATCTTCTGAAAAGTCTCGAGATTTTGAGATAAGGTGCCCTCCGCGCACAAATATTTTTACTGCTCGCCATTTATTAAATTATTTACGATGTCTTTACACTGAAAAAAAAAAATAGATCCAAGAAAATATTTTTTCACATAGTACCAATGGCTTATTTACTTAATATAATCACGTATTTATTTAGACACTTAATTTAAGTAAAAATATCTAATTCTAAATAAATATGTGATTATATTAAGTAAATAAGCCATTGGTACTATGTGAGAAAATATTTTCTTGGATCTAAGTATTTTTTTTTTTAGTGTAGTTCTTGTACTCAATTTTATAATTTATATTTATATCCGTGTCTATTTTTGAAACGTAGTTTAATTTTCTTTTGATACAATATCTTTTACATTCTCCTCTTTACTGTCAGTATAAAATAAATAAACAATAAACCAGTCATTTCTTTAGAAGAACTCCGCTTTTGAAAAGACCGTCTTTTCCCTAATTCGGAATGGGATGTTTACGTTCCGGATATTTGCATTCTTTTCCTTATACATTATTAAATATTAAAGGGTGAAATTTAAACCAATACCTTGATATTACGTTTACGCGAGCGTTACTTCTGTAATAACTTACGATAATTCACTCGTTTACGCGGAGTAAATTATCGTAAGTTACTACAAAATCCCGTTTACGCAAAGGAAATCCCGTTTACGCGAAGGAATTATCGTAAGTTACTACAGAAGTAACGCTCGCGTAAACGTAGTATGAGTCAAATAACAGTTTGTTATTTTTAACTACCGTGGGGGTACTTTAGTTTAGTCGAATCGGTTGAATTAATGCGTATTAAGTAGGAGCAGTGGTGACCTATATATATAGGAATGGTTAAAAAAGACTTAAATTAAGTATATCTAATTGATACTACGAATTTAACAGTGTATAGTTACTTGAAGCAATTATATAAACGTCTACAAGTACATTTCCCCCGGAGCAAAATTTCGGGTATTTACAACTACATTGATACCGCAGAATTCCGCTTGGTTTGGCAGATACTTTTTAACGGTGTCCGCGAGTGACATGCCATTACATTGCCAGACCTGTTCTATCGCTGATTGCATTTTTTTGTTCTACACACAAGCTGCGCGAGTAACTGCGTGAGTGGTGGCCGAGGAGAGGGAAGATAACGGGGAGAAGAATGTGTAGAAAGTACATTTTAAGGAGAGCAGATTTGTTGTTTCTTCGCTGCCGCCACCGCCGACGCCGCTCTCTCGGTGTCCACGGTCACCGTCCCCCCGTGCCACGTGTGCACATTTTAAAATGTCAGCCGTCGAGCCGAATCCAAAGAAATACGACGCTTTGCGGCGATTTAAACGAGCGTTTTTTTTATCGCCTCCGCGCCGCGCCGTGCATACGTCGCTTTCCAATCTAGTCGACGTCCGCATAATTTTACGAGGTATCAGCTATCAATATGTTTATTGCTTGCCGACGATCCGGATAGAATCGATTCACCGTAAGTTGGATAGAAACACGGCTTGGGATCTCGAGTGGCAGTTAGAGAAAGAAAAAATAGGATATCCTGTACACGTTTCGTTGTCATTTCTCGGAAAGAAAGGCGCTTTTCTAGCTTATCTCTAGCAAGAGGAGCACTTAAATGCGCCGTTAAATCAAGCGAAAATAGAGAAAATAAGTTATTCGCGCTTTTATCAGCCGAAACACATGAAGTGTGATTATATTGAGGTATATTGTTTATGACCAGGTACTGTTAACACTAAAGATTAGCATTATTGCTTTTCAAGCTAATAAAGTCGGTGAATGACTTTGTTATCGTATTAGAATTTTAAAGTTCCAAGCTGAAGATTGACCGTTTGATCGTCTCTAAAAAAAAAATCCCTTTCGCTATCTTCGGCTTACGAGCCGAATTAATGAATCTTTGTGAATTGCGCGAGCGTGAATCGTATTTTTAAACGAGTTTGACGAAGTTCATAAATGCGTGGATTTGAAAATTCAGCAATTCAGCTTCTATTCGACTTTAAGCCTTTGATTATGTATGAGTTCCGACGCGATTGCACGTCTTCCGCATGCTCCCCGTCACATTTGTTTGAAACAACGTAGAACGTAGCAGGATTCGACCAGTTCGAAGAGAAGGAAAGAATAACAAAAGCTACGATGCGCGACAGAGACGTGTATATTATTACGTAATACCGTACGGCTACGCATCTGAAATGCAAATGGACACGCCTGATCGTACCCGTCTCACAAAAGCAAAGTACAGTTAGGCAAATTCATTACGGCGTTACGTCAGTTCTGTCCAAATGTTTGTAGTATAAAGTATAACGATATGTAAGTAGCACGAAAGATAATATTTTCTCTGATAATGAGTGGAGTGTTTGCGGAAGGAACGGAAATTACGGAGGCAAAAAGGGAATCGTCTGGTAACTTAATAGAGTCATTGAATTGTATCTGTAGTCTGTACATATGCAAATGAAAATTTAGCACGTTATAGTGCCCTTTTGGATGCCACAATTCCGGCATTTTTCTCTCAATATTCTACGTTAAATCAAATAAACTCTATATATACATACTGGAATGAGTGTTCTATTGATTTGGCTGTTGCCAGTGCCAATCACATAAAAATGACTCAGTGCGATTGACCAATCAGGTAGTATTAGAAAGAAAGAAGAGTACACCCAAAAGCACCTCTCACTGGCAACAGCCAGACCGATGAATCACTCATTCCAGTATGTATAGAGTTCAGTGATTAAACAGGACGAAAACATCCGGCGCTGGACTCTTTATTTATGTATTTTTTTGGGTCAAAGTCCGCCTCTCAAAACAAGATTTATTAGACGCGACCAGCGACACACGTGTGCATGTTTCACGCACGCAAAGGCGATTGCACTTTTGCGGCTATCCAGACGGTTCATGCCGTGCGGTTAAATAGGGTGGCAGCTCGGGCGAAGAAAAGAGGAAGAGATGTGACGTAATATTTATTAGAGAAAATTATAGTAAAAGTTACATTTACGTAAACGGAGAAGAAGTAAAAGAGAATTCAGTCAAAACAAATTATGAAACTTCAGAAAGCCGAAATAAATACATGATTCAATCGACACGTGCTTAATTAAAGTACATATAAATTTTATTATTAAGACATAATTATACATTATAATTTTTGCACTTCTGCCTTTTCTCTTTGATAAATTAATTACGCTTGGCTCTTTTTCTGCGATTGTTTCATTATATATAGCACAAATAAATATTTAGTCTAATTTAATCTTTATTTATTTTTAGATGATAAATTGTGCAATGTAATATATAACATTTGTAGCGTTTTGTAATGAATTACAAAAATATGTACTGTGTACTGTATAAGCACGTATTATTTTAAAGGTTTAAAATTTCTGTAAATTTTTGTTAAATTATTATTTTGAGTCTTGCTCAAATGAAATTTAGCCTGAGATAGTAGCTACCGTCGCAACATGACGGAATGCATAATAGTGCAACATACCTAATAAATGTTCTCTCTCTGCGACCACTGTCATAAGTGTCACAGCAAAACAGTCACTGATATCGACCTTCCTTACATCACTCTTTCGTACTATGCGATTTATTTGGCCAATTTGTTTAAGTATTTAAAGGCGCAATTGAAGCATCTCATTATAACGAATCAAACAACCAGATATTTCGTAAATATAAGTCTTAAATTTAGCAATTAACTGTTTGAATTTAATAATTAATTATGTAGATAATATCCAGAAAACGTTGAATATTTATCTAAGAGAGAGAGAGAGAGAGAGAGAGAGAGAGAGAGAGAGAGAGAGCACTATTTCCTCTCGTAAAGCTTTTAAGAAACAAGATAGAATATATTAAATATTGTTTTTAATAATTAATTAATAAGTCACATGAGAAAAGAGGCGAGAAAACAAGGTTTTGAAATCGTGACACGTTTCGAAGACTTTCTACGTTTCATACTGTGGAGTAATCCATCATTAACATTGAATCTTAATAAAATAGCAGTTACATTTGAAAGTTCGACGTTTTCTTTAGACTTCAGCTTGGAGAATGCTTTTTCATGATAAAAGATGATGATAAATACATAGCAAGCGTTATCAATGTATAGTGTAATTCACGTTCGACGTTTTCTTTAAACCTCAGCACGTTTGGAGAATGCCTTTTCATGATAAAAGATGACGGTAAATACATAGCAGTATTATCAATGTGTACTGTAATTCGCGTGTAGGAAATGATGAAACATCCCTACAATCATAAATCCCACGTGCAAATTCCTGCTGTGAGATATTGCATTTATCTTGAACTTATTCTATAATTTCCAAATGATCGAATATCGCGTTTTCTTATATACATACGTATAT